GCTTTTGGGAGATCCTTGAAATGGATCCCTACGGACCGCCAGCTCGCCGACGGCCTCACAAAGCTGTTGAGTAAAGGGAGTTGGTGGTCGTGTTTGAAAGACCTCAAGCCTGCAGGTTCAACAACATAGAAAGGGAGTGTGAATGAAGGCACTCTGTTGAACCTGCTTTCTGGCTGCCGTTTAGGCACAAGGGTTCTTTGAAGGTAAAAAGGGGTTTGCGCGACCCTCTTGTTTTACATTGGTAGCGTTGAGCCTGTCCCACGTCCGGTGGACGTGGCGTGGTGAGATCGGGATCTCCGAGGGTGGCTCTGGGGCTATTGGTAGGGCAGAGCGGTTGCGATGCCATCACCTGGCGCCGATGTTGGCGCTGAAGGCGGAGAAGATCAAGGTGATGATCAAGATGACCGAGAAGAAGAAACAACATCCCAAAGAACCTCTGAGCGGTCCTGGGGGGCGAAGGGGCTGGTCAGAAGAGGAATGGAGGCAGTGGAAGAGCTTCTACGCGTGGGGACCTGGACCTAGCGGAGAAGGGGGCTCGGCTCAGGGGAATGGGCAAGGGCCATCTTCTTCGATAGAAGGTTCAGCTGCACCTACGGCTCCGCGAGTTTCCCAGGGTGACCCTTGGTGGACTGCTTCCGGTGGAGATCCATGGATGGGAAGCGATGACCGTCGGCATGGAGGCGGAGGACATGACAAAATTCAGGTCCCGGAGTACTCTGGAGAAGATGATCGTGATGGGTTGAAGGCCAAGGGGTACATCCGGAAGGTTGAAGCATGGAGACGGGTGACACGCCTTTCTCGGGGCAAACAAGCTCTGATGTTGTACAACAGCCTGGCGGGACGCTGAAGAACTGGATTTGTCCCTCCTTGACACCGACAACGGCGTGGAGATCTTCCTATCCTGGATCAAGGACAAGTACATGGACCGGGAAGTCACTAAGGTGGGCCGCTACATGTCTGACTTTTTCAAGGTCCTCAAGAAGACGGCCAACCAGGACATCCGTGACTTCAACCAGGAGTTCGACAGGCAGATCAGCCGGCTTCGCGAAGTTGGTTGCACTCTCCCGGACAACTGCCTGGCCTGGTGGTATGTAGACAAGATGAGGTTGGACAACGCCACCGAGCTGAACCTTTTGTCTTCAGTGGGCAACCTATACAACCTTCAGAAGCTCCAGGATGCGGCGATCATTCAGGACAGGATGAACCGACGACTGTGGGAGAGAAGACCTGATGGAGACAAGAGGACTGAGGAGAAGAGGAAAGGACACCAGGCTCTGATGACCTCGTTGGATGACGACGACGAGGACAATGAGGAGCCGGCCCTCTCCGACATCGAGGTGGAGGAGTTCATCGACGATGAGCACACCCATGAGGCCTTTGTCGCTTTCCGAAACGCTAAGAGCAAGTACCGGGCAGCCTTGAAAGAACGTGGATACACTCAGTCGAAGGATGAACGACTGCAGCAAGCCAAAGCCCGGAGCTACTGTTCCGTATGCCACAAGAAAGGACATTGGCACAAAGATCCTGAGTGCCCCGCCAACAAAGGGAAACAAGGGGGGGAGGCACATACGACTCACGTGGTCTACATCACTCAGAATGCGGGCACCAAGAACGACATCGAGGAGTACCAGAATGGGGCAGAGCACTATGTTGGGAACTGCGTTGACTCCATCGAGGACATGGACTACTTCGTCTCCTTCATGGAGCTGCAGCGGAACAACGTGACCACGGACCGGAACAACGACCTGGTTTGGACATGCTATGCTGTGGACTCCAACGTCGAGAAGAGTGCCCCGGAGGCAATGTTCCTGGCCATCACTGACTGCGCCTGCAGCCGTACGCTTGCGGGCAGGAGTTGGGCCATGAACTTTATCGGATACCTCAAGAAGACCAACATCCCGTACTTCATTATGAGGCAGGAGGAGACATTCAAGATTGGGGGGGAGCGTCTGTACCCTTCGAGGCAGGCCCTGGTCACATGGCTGGCAATCCAAAACTCGTGGTTTGCCGTGAAGATCAGTGTGGTCGGCGCTGATGCGCCGCTTCTTCTCAGCCGGCCTGCACTTGGAGCCCTTGGGATGCGCTACGACATTGCCCAAGGAGTGGCTGATTTTTCCCATTTGCATGTGCACTCAGTGCGCATGATCATGAGCGCTTCTGGCCATCCCCAGGTGGCGGTGACGAGCAAGAAGACTCCGTTTCTGTCCTGGCCAGAGCGTTGTGATTGGAGTCTCACGGAGATCTATGTACCCACAACGCAAGCAGTATACATGGCCGCGAGCGGGGAGCAGCTGTTTATACCCAAGAAACTTTCGGCCGGGGTACGTGACATGTTGAGCTGTGAACCTTTCAACCATGAGACCTTCCTGCATTGGTGGCGCTCCAAACAATACTACAGGGGTTTTTGGATTGAGACTCCCCACTACCTGTACCGCATCCATGTGACACCCCGGAGATCGTCGTTCGACCCTCGTTCATGGCAAACGGCCAAAGGTGATTTGAAGGAAACTCTACTAGCTCGACTGGCAGAACTTTGTGAAACTGTCACCATTCCTTGTACTACATCAGCCTTGCCTTTGACACATGTTAGCAATTGGAGGGAACAGGAGCCGGTCAAGTTCAAATATCTATGGGTCGGACGAAGCCGTTTTGAGAGACATCTCAAGCCCGTTTTCGAGGGCGACCTCGAGCACCGTGACCCTGCACCGTCCCGGGATGCCATTGGGCCAGACGTCGCCATGGAAGATGAACAAGCCGGAGCTCACCTCAACCCTGGTGGCTATGGGGATTCCAGTCCGGCCAGAGTGGACGGTGCCCGAGCTTCGGTCGATCCTCTCGGAACAGAAGGAGAAGCCATCCACGTCGGAACTCAAGGGCCTCTCGAGCTTGAAGTTGGATCAACTAATCAAGAGGTGCAAAGATCTCAACATCAAGATCCCGGAGAAACCCACGAGGGGCCTCCTCATGAGGATGATCCGGGACGGGGTGCCACCGACGGAGACGGAGGTCGTGCCTTTCGGCCGCTATCGAGGATACCGCTTCTCCGAGGTGCCTATGAGCTATTTGGACTGGGCCATCGACGAGTGTCACAACAACGAGAACCACTCCCCGGACCTGGCTCGGCTAGCACGTTGGGCGAAGGAGAACAAGGACACTGCAGCCAGCTCGAAGACAACCTCGGGCTACAGAGATCCAGAGGAGACGGCAAAGAAGGCAAGTCCGCCCAGCCGAAAGCCGGGGAGAAGCCGCCGGCAAAGACGAAGAGCAAAACAGCACCGAGGAAGAAAGGAAGGGCGGCCACCTCGGACGAGGACGAAGACTATTCCATGATCAGCGAGGCGGGGGACAATCACGAGAAGATCCTGGACCTGGAGAAGACGGTGATGGAGCTCAAGGCGCAAATCGACGCTGCAAAACGCGACAGTACTGGCAACAGGTGAACGAGCTCATCACTGAGAAGAGGCGGAGAAAGGCTGAGAGAGATGATGCAGCCTTTATGAACTCAGCGGGGACTGAGGTGAAGGGGGAGATCAACACAGAGGATGAGGGCAAGGACTACATCTTGGATAACGACTTCAACACCTCCGAGACTGAGGATGAGTCCAACGACCCTGGCAAGTATGACATAACGGACTCCAGGAAGCCCAAGGTGAAGCTGGTCTACCCCGACGACTATGACCGGGTGAAGCGCCTGCCTGGACACAAGATGAAGCGGGTCGCCCGCAAAAGAGTCAAGAATTGGGCGCAGAAGACACTCGGGCTGATCACGACCACCCTGCTGGCTTACACTTCGGTGGTTTTGGAGACTGCCGACCAGAACACCAAAGGGGTCCGTGATTGGGTATCTTCCAGGTGTTTTCCTGAACCCCATCCTGGAGATGAACGTGTGGCGCTCATGGAGCTGTTTTGTGGCAGCGCTCAGCTCACCCTGGAGTATGCCAAGGCCGGTATGGTGGTCCTGGAGCCTCGCGACATCATCCACGGACACGACCTCAACAAGGAAGAAGAGCAGGCACGGGTGATCGATGAGATCAACACATTCCGGCCTGAGCTGGTTTGGATAGCACTTCCCTGCACTTTGTGGGGACCTTGGACCAGGATCAACTATAAGGACCGACCCCAAGAACTACGGAGGCTGAGGCTGAAGCAAAAGAAGCTCATCAACCTGGCCATCGAGGCTGCTACGGTACAAATAGCTGGGGGCAACCACGTGGCTTTTGAGCATCCCCGTGGCTCCGAGCTATGGAACAAACCGGACGTGAAGGAATTGCTCCAGATGCCCCATTTCCAGGAGGTGGACTTCGATATGTGCAGCTTCGGACTCAAGGCTGTCTCCGATGGAGGACTGTTGAAGAAGCCAACCAAGGTGATGTGCACAGACCCAGGGTATGCAGCAGCCCTCCACAGGCCATGTACTGGAGATCATGAACATACCCTGGGCAAAACACTAAACCGGCCGGGCACTACACCGAACAGTTCGCCAGGGCCGTGGTGAAAGGACACAAGTCCATGAGAAAAGGGCGCAGGAAGATATGGGATTCCCTGACAACGGCGCATCTTGGAGGGGCTGTACAAGACCACGGAGGACCTCTACGGGGACCATCCGAGGACCTGACGGTTGAGAAAGTGGAAGATGGGTGCGCGGGGATTTCTTTTCCACCACACGTGTCCAAATCAGTGGCCACGGCACTCCGCCGTGTACACCAGAATATGGGACATCCCTCCAACAACGACCTAGCCCGGCACTTAAAGCTGGCAGGTGCCAGCGAAAGAGTCGGTGAAGGCATGCCATCAACTGCATTGCCAAACCTGCAAGAGGCATGCCCGGTCGGGAAGCAGGAGACCTGCAAAAGTCTTCAAGCCTCTTGACTTCAACGAAGAGGTTGCCGTGGACACATTGCATCTCTATGACCTCTCTGGGCACAAGGTGACGGTCCTATCGATCATGGACGTGGGGTCGGGATACCATGTGGTGGCTCCCGTGTCCGGGAGAAAGGCAGAAGAGTACACCAAATGCTTCTTAAAGAGCTGGGTGGCTTGGGCTGGAGCTCCACAAAGTACACTGGTGGACCAAGAGAGCGGCCTCACGAAGGACTTCCCGGAAGAGCTGGAGAAGCACGGCATCCGGGTCAACTACACGGCGGGTCAAGCACACTGGCAAAATGGCCACATCGAGAGACAGAATGAGTGGTTCCGGCAGATCTTCGACCGGGTCAAGGACCATGTCTCCATGCAGGATCACGAGGTCGAATGGGTCCTGGCATCAACGGCACAGGCCAAGAACTACCTCCGACGTCGCCATGGCTACTCCCCCGCTCAGTGGCTTTTCGGGGTGGCTCCTCGCTTGGGAGAAGGGATATTGGATGAGGAAGATGACACCGCTGAGAGACAGGCCCTCATTTCTCCTGGCGATCAATGGTCGAGGAAGAATGAGATCAGGAAGGCTGCGCGCGAGGCATACGTGCACCTCCAGGCATCTGAGAGCCTACAACGGGCTATCCATGGACGACCACGAGTCCAACACGGAGACTTCTCACAAGGACAATACGTCTACATCTACAGGACTTCAAAAGCAGCAGGGGGAGTCGCCCGCAAAAGGCAAAACATTGGAGAATGGGTCGGACCTGGGGTCATCGTGGGGCAGGAAGGAAAGAACTTCTGGGTCTCACGAGGTGGTCGGTGTCTACTATGTGCTCGAGAGCATCTTCGTTTGGCCGAGTCGGAGGAGTTGGGAGGAACACTTCAAGCCAAGGCAGTGAGGTCCGACTTGGTCAAGCTCATCGAGGGCATGGAGATCGACGACGAGGAGGTCTTCGCCGACGCCACTGGAGAACCCGCACCCGTCGATGCCGGAGGGGACCTTGAATACACTCCCTCGCTTCCAGATGAAGGCGAACCTATGGAGGAGGAGCCAAACTCAGGGGCTAAGCGACCTGCCGACACCTCGGTGCCTGAGAGGCGCATGCGACAAAAGGGGTACTGCCCAATGGTCCCAGAACCAGAAGAGGTGCCGGTTCCCGAGGACCAGGAACTGCTGTGCTACATGGCCTCCGAGAAAAGGGTCCCTCGAGCTCTACAGAAGCAGGCGGACAAGGAGCTCAAGTGGAATCAGATCCCAGAGGAGGAGATCCCCCTCTACAAGGAAGCGGAATTATTGGGGCTCAGGAAGCGGCAAAAGTCCGTAAACGGGTCCACAAGAGTAGGATCTTGAGAGCTCGATTCGCCTACCGGGACAAGAACTGCGCCAAGAGACGTGAAGATCCGACAATTCCTCCAAAGGCTAAGGCACGTCTCTGTGTGGGAGGACATCGTGACCCTGACCTACAATCTGGCCAACTCACGACCGAGGCGCCCACTGCAACTAAGACTTCGATAACATGCCTCGTCTTCCTCACAGCGCAGATGGGGTGGACACTCGCGGCCGGGGACATCAAGGCAGCTTTCTTGAACGGGGTCGAAGCGAGACGTGACCTCTACTTCGAACCGCCAGCCGATGATCTGGAAGGGGTGGAACCTGGAGGTCTCATCGAAATTGTGAAAGGGGTCTTCGGGCTGTCTACGTCACCACGGCTCTGGTGGGATAAACTTGCCCAGTCCTTGCTGGAAGTCAAGGTTGAGACCGCACATGGAACTCTACACCTTGTCCAGCATAGCCTGGACAACTGCCTGTTCCTGGTCATCAATAAGGACAACCAGCTGTTCGGACTGTTGGCCACCCACGCGGACGACATTCTGGTCTCGGCACCCACGCCTGTTCGCAAAGCTCTGGAACAAGCACTCTCGGGGGTCTTTCCGATAGATGCGTGGGAAGAAGCTTCGACTGGGCTGGAATATTGTGGGGTGACGGTGAAGCAAGAGAAGAATCAGGTCACACTGAGTCAGGAGCACTACGTGAACACACGTCTCCAGACGGTGGACATCCCCAAAGGAGTACTACCAGAAGACCCTGCAGATGAGGTGGCCAAGATGGACAATCAGTCCACTATTGGGGCTTTGTCATGGCTGGCATCACAAACCAGACCAGACATTCAGGTGGGTGTCTCGATGGCGCAGAGAAAACAGAAGTCACCCACCTACGAGGACATCAAGGCGACCAACCATGTGGTTCGGATGGCCCAGAAGGAGAAGGAGGAGAAACTGGTGTATGATAAGCTGGGGAATTGGAACGACCTGGTGATCATCGTATACCATGATGCGGCATGGGCCAACGTGACCAACGAGTACGACCACCAGGACTATGACGAGACCAAGGACACCGGCATCTACTCTCAGATGGGGTACGTGGTGGTGATAGCACACAAGGAGGTCCTATTGGGGAAACCTGGAAAGGGGATCGTGGCAACCTGGAAATCCCATGCTTGCCAGAGGGTGTGCAGGAGCACTTTCGCCTCTGAAACGATGGCGGCATTGGAGGGGTGGGAAGCTGGAATCGCTTTCCGCGATCTGCTTCGAGGTTGCTTCCAAGCTGGGTGCCCCGGCGAGCTGCCGATGGTGACCATGACGGACTGCAAGAGTCTGTACGATTCGGTGCACCGAGCCGGTGGACCGAGGGCGCCCTCTGAGAAACGCTTGCTTGTGGACCTGGCTGCGCTACGACAGATGGTGCATCAAGAGGTCACGGAGTGGAGCCCAGAAAATAGGGCAGCTTTTGGGAGATCCTTGAAATGGATCCCTACGGACCGCCAGCTCGCCGACGGCCTCACAAAGCTGTTGAGTAAAGGGAGTTGGTGGTCGTGTTTGAAAGACCTCAAGCCTGCAGGTTCAACAACATAGAAAGGGAGTGTGAATGAAGGCACTCTGTTGAACCTGCTTTCTGGCTGCCGTTTAGGCACAAGGGTTCTTTGAAGGTAAAAAGGGGTTTGCGCGACCCTCTTGTTTTACATTGGTAGCGTTGAGCCTGTCCCACGTCCGGTGGACGTGGCGTGGTGAGATCGGGATCTCCGAGGGTGGCTCTGGGGCTATTGGTAGGGCAGAGCGGTTGCGATGCCATCACCTGGCGCCGATGTTGGCGCTGAAGGCGGAGAAGATCAAGGTGATGATCAAGATGACCGAGAAGAAGAAACAACATCCCAAAGAACCTCTGAGCGGTCCTGGGGGGCGAAGGGGCTGGTCAGAAGAGGAATGGAGGCAGTGGAAGAGCTTCTACGCGTGGGGACCTGGACCTAGCGGAGAAGGGGGCTCGGCTCAGGGGAATGGGCAAGGGCCATCTTCTTCGATAGAAGGTTCAGCTGCACCTACGGCTCCGC